ATGAGAGTGAATTAATAAGCCATTATTCTCTTCTCACTAAAGCATTTTTCTACTACAGTGATGATAGAAAATGTTTATGATCTCTTTACTTACAATAGTAATTTGTCTTGCTCTGACCTTTTTGGCAGCCTATTTTAACTGACCTGTCATAGCATCCCTAGTGACAGATGTGCAGGGAAAGAAAGAGGTTGATGAGCCATGGCAAACTCAGATGACTAGAAAGGTTGTTGTAATCCAACATGCTGAATATAAAGGTGATTTACATTCTCATGACTCATTCTGCAGTTGAAGCTGACATTCGTGGACTGGGGTAGCTCAGGAAGGACAGCCTGTGCTCCTGAAGATACTGGTCCTGGATTACACACTTGGTTCTGTCTCTGACCTTTCTGCTTGACCCTGGGCAGGTCTCTTAGGATTCAGTTCAGATACCGTGGAGGTCTAGCAACAAACTCCAGGTAGCCTCAGTAGGAACAGAACTGAGTGTTTGTCCTTGGTGTTGTCTGCTTACTGTTCTGTATGTAACAAGGTCCACACTTACAAATGCTGTTTTGTCTGATGGAGTGCCTGTTAGTGCAAATGGCTGCTGGTTTCTAGTAACCTTAGAATGAATATATATATATATATTTTTTTTTATTATTTTTATTATTTTTATTTTTTTATTTTTTTTTAATTGGTCTTCTGGGTCAGGACAGGAGAGTGTTTGGTACTCTGTTTTGATTAGAGGGGGCTGCCATCATGTACACTTATTTATTTAGTATTTATGTGTTATACCATATTTGAATAGGAACACTGTGATTAGGAAAACTGGTTTATGTCTCTGCAATTACCTTCCGTACTGTATAATCATTCCTGCAGACCCTCATTCTGTAGTGGCTCTCACCATATCCTTTGTACAGGTGACCTTAGGGAACAGCTGCAGGTAAAGAGTGATCCCTGTTTTCTCTTCCACTGTCAGGGAAAGAACTCTAAAGCCAGGATCTGTTACTGCTGCCTCTCTTTTTGTGTTTTTTTTTCCCCTTGTATTTTTGTGAGGAGGTGTGGGGTGTGTTTATTTTGGTTTGGGTTTGAGAGCACTGTTGTGTGGACATAAGCAAACAATGCAATTAGTGAGTAGTGTAGTACATCACTTATCTGAGTGCATCCTTTTTCTTTACTATCGTTTCTTCTTTACAACATCTCCACTTTTTTCTTTCCTCAAGCTTCTGTTTTCATTGCTTTGTTTCATCTGTCAATGCTCAGGATACCTTATCCTGAAGCTTTTGGTAGCTTCCACTCCTCCAAGTCAAAGGTGCTCCTTTCCTTTCATGCTCCCTCGGTGTTATACTTGACTTGGCTCATTCAGGGTTATTTGTGCTTAAAAATGTATGTGTATATGTGTCCACACCTGCATGTATGAACTTAGGAGTTCCAATATGAAACTAATTTCCGTACAGTAACATAAATGGAAAACATTTTTAAGCATGTTTTGAAGTGTATTGATGTGCACCAGCTTATTCTGAGAACTTCATGTGTAGTACTGCAAAACCTGAATGGTCACTTGACAGTGTAGAACTGCAGACAGTGGAGTAAGCAATGAGATCCCATGGTGTGGGATCACTCAAAATAGGATAGAATTATAAAAGGGCTGTAAGGTATAAGGGAACATCAATCCCTTTCTCCATTGCACTCTTGAGATTAAATTCTGGTTTCCATTATCTCTTGTGCAGCCCTACTGAAGCCAGTTTTCAAGTGGTAGACCTTATCAGGGACCAACTGTGTTAATTTGCATCATCCTCTCCCATTCTGCATGAGGATTATCTGTTGCGTCCTTCTGTGTTCTCATACTAACAGATGATGGATTTAAATGGCAGGTCAAACTGAAGTGTGGAAGATGTTCAAGCCAATCAAACATTGTGAGGTATCTCTGCAAGTGTTTTATAGCTGTAGGATAGAAATGCTAGAGATCTAATTGACTGAGTGTGTAACAAGGACAGTAAATGACACAATGGCAATTCATTTTCTTGGAGAATACAGTGGGAACACAGGCTGCAGCAACCTTAATTAGATTTTCAGCTAAACATTTTGAGTGAGGATGGGAAGTTCAGCTAATTGAATCTGTTCTAATTTCCATCCTCCTGTTTGTCATTTTTTCCTATTCATTTTGGGACATATCTCAAGAAACAGCTCTCGTTGTTCTCTGCTCATTGCAGTATGTGATGACAGATGGTAGGCAACATGCTGATGTGCAGGGTAGCTACACATAAGCCATAGGATCTCCCACCTGTCTTCATTACAATGAAACTGAACTGGATCCACTCCAGTGGCTTATGAATGCCTTCCCTTTTCCCTCACCTCCCAGTTCCCATGCACTTTAACGTGAGAATAAGGTGGTTGTGTATTAATAACGACCCAAACATTTATATGCTTTTACAGTGAACTGTAGAAAGTCTAAAAGAAATGTGGTGTTCTGCCCTGAAGAGGTGTGGGTCTAAATAATCATCAGTTTTTAGCATCTCTGCAGTTATTACTATACACTATTGTGATTTTTTTTTTCTTTTTTTTTTTTTTTCCTGTGTGTGTCTGGCTGATTGAGTACCAGTTAATGCACAGGTACCTTGTTTTGGCACCTGTTGATCTACTAATTTCAAATGTGAGTTCTCTCTCAGAGGGTGATAGTGACAACCTCTTTTAAAAGAGAGAGTATGTTGAAGTTACAACATAAAAGTTAACACTTAAAGGTGCTTTGTGGGTTAGAGGTGTGTTGCTGTGGTACCTCTCTAAACTAGAGAGTCCTATCACAATTTCCCTGCATGCTTCAGATGTTCCCAGGTTGAGACAAAGCTGTGGGTTGATATGTAGGCAGTAGCCAGCTTCATGCTGGCTAGAGGATTACTGTCTGAACTCAGGAGTAGATGTTTTGGCAGTTTCTGTAGATTTGGATGATACAATACTCTATAAGGAAATATTTCCTAGATGTTCTGTGGTTCAAGCTGTTTTGGATGCTAAACTCCCAGGTTCTAAGAGTCCTAGTTAACTTGATTCCAGAAACATTCAAGAAAGGAACTTCTGAGAAAATTGGGCTTTGTGCCTGGCTGCTTCTCAGAATATCCTAAATGAAGCAAATGGTTAGCTTTTAGTTAGAAACCTATTTTAAGAAACACATGTAGTCTGCTTCAAGTTCTTTAGAAATCTGTGTAATTCATGTTTCTTTTAAAGAACTTCTTGTGCTGTTATGCCATATTCCCATAACCTGGAAAGAAGGTACAAATATGAAAAGGTCTGCAGATGCTAAAGAGGTGTTTGCCAAGAACAGAAGCTTGCTAGATTGCTTAATGGAGCCATGCTTGTGGCTCTCAAGTCTTTATCATTAAAGGAAGGGGATGCATTTCAAAGAGCAAATAGCAAATTTGTGCCCCTTGGGGTAGCTTGTGCCTTGTGCTTTTTTGGGAAAGGTAGAGAGAAAGGAATACCAACTGAACACACCCAAAATAGAGCTGACTTTTCAGAGTGGACATTCAGTCCCCTCTGCAAGCAGGATCTACTGAAGGAGTTACAAGTTGGGTTCCTCAAAGCTGAGATGGCTAGTGTTTGGTAATCTCCATTTAATCTTTTTAAAAAGTAGTTCAGGTTGTAGACTGCCAGTTTTGGAGGAAGGTGGGTATGTTATGGGCAGATTGTGGCAAAACATGTACTGTCAAAGCTATCTAGTCGTCTGAAACTCCAGTAATCACTAGTGCTCTAACCTAGGTCGTCTTAGCTAGTTATGAGGGGAGGATTTGTGAGAGGAGCAGGATATGTGCAATAGTCTACTGCATGTGTTTCGTTTGTGTCAGAACTTGAACTTTTATAGCTGTAGGAGAGCTAGTCAATGCTTTTTATCTACTTTTGGGCACTAAACTATTTATCTTTGGGTCAACCAAAGCTAAGTGAGTTCAGGTCAAAGGCAGCTCAGGAACAAAAGATGGAAAATGTTTTGGTTTGGTATTTTTAGAAACTAAACATCTTTGACTATGCTTTGAAAAGATAGGGGGTTTGGATTTGTGTTTGAATGCCTTGAGACTTGACAGGAACACTCCAAATGGAACAAGTCAGAGCTTATTGGATTCTAGTTGTGTAAGAAAAGACTCAGCTAGTTGTTTTCTGTTTCCTACCTTGCACACATTTGTCTCTGACCTTCAGGGGCCCTACAGTTGGATATGGGCTGAGTATCTGCTCAGGAATGAGCTACCTGCCACCTAGTAGGATTTGCTTAAAGGGCTTGTGGTTACTAGGTGTTCATCAGATGCTGCAGCCCTTCTCTGATAAGAAGCAAGGAATAAAGAGAGGTCACAGCTCCAGGCGCTGTTTGGTTTGGTCACCAAATAAAAAAAAAAATTCAGTATCTGAGCACTGAGTCAAAAGCATCTAAAGTAATATCCCAATTAGTGATTTATTTTAATATTCAAACAATGTTGTTCTGTAATCAAAGTACAGCTTAGTCATAGTTCTAGCACATTCTAATTCAGGTGTAAACCATACTCGTTAGTGCACATTTGCCTTTGTCTACACCATTTATAGTTGCAGGGAGCTGACATGACAGGGCACACACTGTACTGCAGAGGAGGCCACAGACCAAAACTTGACTACTAGAAATGGATTATGAAACCACTTTTCTGGCAACTTGAATATTAAACAGAAGGTAAGTGACTGAAGTGTAATGCTTATCATGCTGAGTTGAAGAACCACTAGTGATCTGTGAATCCCTTCTTTATGCATTGCACATTCATGCAGAGGGCTAACAGTTGGGAAGTATTTTGTGAAATTTCAATTAAAAAACCATTCTTAACAGTATGTGAAAAAATATGCCAGCTTTCTTTAGAGGGTAGAAGTGCTTCACAGAGTTGTGAAATTCTTCTTGATTACTGTATGCAAGTGTTATCTTACTGAAAGTGATACAGCCCTTCTGGAACGTTACTCCTTTGAATACCAATTTTAGTTCTGTTGTTCCCTCTCATTTTTTATTTTTTTTTAATTTTCCACAGGGAGAAGTGTCTCCTTCCTCTCCAACTGGCTCTGGAATCAAAGAGCATGAAGTTGGCCCAACAGGCTCTAGCAGGGATGCAGGTATGCCTTTAGAGTGGAGGTATGTTAGTAGGCAGTGGGTGTCAAAGAAATCTAGGCTTTTCTCTTGAAAAATAATACAGAAAAAGTGTCTATCCTTGGTGGACCTAACAACAATATTTGTGTTTCTGTAACAGTGTTCAAAAGTTAGAATGCATATAAAGGCTGGCAATTCTGAAGAAGCTAAAACTGTTCTGCAGATAGATGGGAGTTCCTGGCTTTCAGTGTTGAATGTATTCTTCCTTGTGTGGCCCTGTGATACTCTCAGTAAGCCTTGCCACTGCTTAATGCCTTAGAAACTAAACTGAGTCAGATCTTGCTGATTTCTTTGATTATAAGTGAGGACTGCAGTGCTTGAAAGATGAAGAAGTTAATAAATGATCTTGTAGCTGCCTTCTCTATGTGTGGGCACTTTCCAGGGTTTTTTGTACACTGAAAACAGTAGGAGTAGCATCTGATTTGTAAGTTTATGAAATTGAAAAATAAAACAGCAGTACAGCACAAGCAACAAAAAGACTCTCTGGTTTGACAGTATAAAAACTAAAGCAGTTTACCTTCTGTTTAATTGAACAAATGAGTACATATCAGTCAATACCTATCACTAGGGATTGTATCTGTGGAAAAGGCTGGTACACTGCTGGAACATAACATGCATGCCACCATTTTCCAGAAAGAAGTTGCTCACTCAGAGGGCAAGCATGAAGTTGTTGTTTTGGGAGTATTGAGGATGTTAAGTGGATCATTTAAATTCACTTAACTCAGCATATGAGGTGTCAGGCATTTGGTTAGAGAGTGCCCCATCTTGGGACACAACAAGGTTGTAGGAATCTCTGGCTAAGGAAAAAAAGTACTTTCTGAAGGGTTCCTGTAATTATTGGTCTGCCAGAAGACATGTGTCACGTCCTTGCAGCAGAGTACTGTGGTCCCACTCTGACATCCTGTGCCCTGTGTTTCAGGTATATGGGAGGTGGGGGTTGTTTTTAAAGTGAAAGCTAGTGGGACGTGAACATATGTCTGCTCTTGTACCAGTGCAGGTATGCCTGTTAGAAGAACATTGTAGAGTGATGATCAACCAAGAATAGTGGAGGAATTATGAATGACTCACTGTCCACTGTAGTATAGCTTCTATGGGAACACTCAGTGAACATAAATTTTACCTTTTTGCTCTTCTAACTTGCTGCACATACGCTTGAGTTCTGTAAGAACTGGAATTGCAGAGTTGCAGATTTGCAACATGGTACCTTAAGAATGTTGCCTCCTATCTAGAAGCCTAAAAAGGTAATCCAGGCAACAATACCATTCCTTCACCTGCTTTTATCATATGTGATGTTTTACGAAGGACAGAAAAGCAAACCACAATACTGATGCTATGGAGATAGATTTAAAAATAGGATAAAAGACAAAAAATAAGATACAACTTGAATTTGCTAAAAGTAGGTCACAGGATTACAGAATGATGGAGGTTATCAGGGACCTCTGGAAATCATCTGGTCCAACCCCACGCTTAAGTGAGGTCACCTAGAGCAGGTTTCCCAGGCCCATGTCCAGATGACTTTTGAATATTTCCAGGGATGGAGACTCCACAGCCACCCTGGGCAACCTGTGCCAGTGCTCAGTCACCCTCAGAGTAAAGTGTTTCCTGTGTTTCACTTTGTGCCCATTGCCCTGTCACTGGGCACGGAAAAGAGCCTGGCTCTGTTTTCATTGCACCCTCCATTTGGGTATTTATGCACATTGATGAGATCTCCCTGAGCCTTCTCTTCTCTGGATTAAACAGTCCCAGCTCTCTCAGCCTCTCCTCATGAGAGATGCTTCAGTCCCTTCATCATTGTAGTGGCCCTTAGCTGGACTCTCTCCAGCAGTTCTATATCTCTCATACCAAAATAAACATTCTCCTTTATATAGAAAAACATATTATTTTCCTTGTAAACTGAGTTAATCTCATCAGGCTGTATGGTACTAAAACACTTGATATACTGCTATGTGGAAAATTCTTTAAAATGTTGTGGGTTAACCCTGGCTAGCCCTACCCAGCCACTCACTCCCTCCTTCTCTGTGGGGTGGGGGAGAGAATTGAAGGGTAAAAGTGAGAAAATGAACTAAGACAAATTTTAATAGGGAAAGCAAAACTGTGTGCGCAAGCAAAAATATAAGGAATTCATTCACTACTTCCCATTCACAGGCAGGTGTTTAGGCATCTCCAGGAAAGCAGGGCTATATCACATGGAATGGTTACTTCAGAAGCCAAATGCCTTCACTCTGAATGTCCCTGTGCCCCCGCTTCCTCTTTCTTTCCCCAGCTTTTGTTGCTGAGCATGGTGTCATAGGGTATAGAATATCCCTTTGGTCAGTTGGGGTCAGCTGTCCCAGCTGTGTCTCCTCCCAACCTCTTGTGCACCCCGAGCCTACTTGCTGGGGCACCAGTGTGAGAAACAGAAAGCCTTGATGCTGTGTAAGTGCTGCTCAGCAGTAGCCAATATGTGGGTATGTTATCAACATTGTTTTGGTCACAAATCCAAAACACAGCACCCTATGAGCTCCTATGAAGAAAATTAACTCTATCCCAGCCAAAACTAGTACAAGCATAGCAAATAAGTAGGAATGAACCAGTGAAATATGCTACAGAATTGAAGCTGGGAAGGAGCATCAGTATAAAAGTGATGCAGAACATACGGGGTGAATTGCGCTGCTCAAAGTCTGTGCTGGGGTAGAACAAGGTTGTGTTCCTGGGAACCAAGGCAATGTAGTTCTGCTCTGTCATGGGAGCTACTAAGAAGATTGAAGCTGGGAAAAGACTTGAGTAGGTACATCTATTGCAGGATGCCTGCCACTAATAAGAAGCACTTATGAAGGTGGTTATAGAGTAAACGGAAGAGGCATTTCTAGTAGAACTCTGAGAAAATAGTTCCACTGGCTGTATTGGGAGATACTGACTTGGATACTGGCTTTTTACAGGCAAAGGAAGTCTGATCAGTCTAAAATACTCACTCTAAAGTTCAGTCAGTCTGTATTGAATGCACTCCTATGTATGTTTGTGGTCCTCATGCCAGTCGTTTGCTAACAGTACTCTTCTTCCTGAGGGCTTGATTGCATCCATTATTAGTCAACTTCTGAATGACACAACACATATCTTGTCAGTGATCAGAAGTGCCACCTCCACAGCACTTGTGCTCTGTGCCTTATCGAAGTGAGTGGGATGATAGCTGACTCTTTGTCTCCTGGTGGGCAGGGTATCTGATAGCACTAGTTTGAGGCCAGGATACTAGCCTGAGTGGAGTTTTTCTGTTGTTGATTTTGCGTTTAGGGTGTGTGTGAGGATTCCATACTCTCCTTGCTTCTAAAATGTTGAGAGGTTTTGCTGAGGTCATTACTTGGAGTGGTTTAATGATGTCATGTCAATTACTGATGTCTGATTTCTTCTGGACACTGGAGAAGTGGGATGGGGAAGGATGATACCCGAACATCAGCTGATTCGAATGATGTTAACTGTCCCCTCATCATAGCACAGATCTCCCAGTTTTGCTGTACTTTTGCATTTTGTATTATTGGATCAATTTGAAATTTGTACATAGAAAATCTAGCCACTGTAGTACCAAATAGGTTTAGGTGTAGTAGTTTACAGCAGAATTGGGAAGAGGAAGTTTTGTCTCAACGCTTACATTGCCATTTTCTCTTTGCAGAAGCTCTTGTCTGATGAGAGGTTTGTATCCGTGGAAACAGACTCAGATGAAAAACAGTTGCTTAATCAGATGCTGAATGCCGTCAAAGTGACTCCTTCGCTCAACGAAGACCTGCAGGTTGAAGTGATGAAGGTTAGTGTTTCACACACGTCAGTGCTTGCAACAGGAGCTGCGTGACTGAATGCTGGGGTTAGCAAATAAATTAGCTGTTGCCTTGGAAATCTTCACCTTAGGACAGTATTTGATTCCCTCCTTCCTGCTGGCAGATGTCAGTTGTTTTCATTTCTACTTGGTTTGTGTTTCCCTGGGTTAAATAGGAGATAGTTTATAATAAGAGTGCACTGGTGGTCCCAGTTTTAGCAAACAGGACAGTCAGTTCACTCCATGGGAGTTCACAGATAAATGGCCTGTAGATTTGGAAGTTTGTGTTTGGTGTTGAGCTTTAGTGCTCATGAGGTAGGCTTGTGCAGGTTTGCAATTTTGAATTGTGTGTGCGTAGGTGCTTTCTAGTTTGTTAACTATATGTTCTCTTCATAAAATGCTAATGATGAAGCATGATTTGTTTAGGTACCAAAATGTCCCTGGAGTAGTGCATAAGGGAAATTATTGCTTTGTAGATTCAGTGAAAAGTTCAATTTTTAGAAATGTTTTATCATTCTCTTGTGTGTGTTAGGAAGTTCAGCTGCCAGGAGGTACTGTTTTGGAGTGGAGGTGCTGTCAAATTTCCTTGCCCCATCATTGGGTTGGTTGTATGACTTGCCAGTACTGCCATAAAAAAGTAACTTCTATACCTGTATTATTTGTGTGAAGTAATAGTCTCAAATGTTTGGGTATAAACTTTGTACTACAGAGTTTGTTGTTCTATAACTGATCATCATTTGAAACCATTTTGGAACAAACCTGCTGGTCCCTTTTGCATGTTCACTATACGTAGTACTGATGGATATATTTGGATCTACTATTTGACTTCTAACTGTAGAGATTAGGTATTTTATTCATTCTTACATGTGACATTGTTGTTCTAATGAATATCTGTTATCCACTCTGAACCTGCTCTGTACTAGCTGTACTCTTTGCCACTGAAGATGACTACCTGCCTGTAATATGCACTCAGTGTCAGAACAGGCAGAAGGTTGAACCTTGAAGCAGAAAAAAGGGAGCAGTATTTGTGTGGACTGTTACTTGTTTTATAGGAGCAGTCCTCTGCCCATGTACAGGCTTAACTGTTGACACTCAGATCAGCATTCCTAACCCAGCATGCTTCTTTCCTGCCTTTTCTGTCTGTACAGTGCGAAGGGGGAAGAGTTAAGAAGCGGCACTACTGAACTAGCAGGTCTCTCTTGGTATGCAGTAATTTTTGGCAAATTGGATTTTTTATCTTCTTGAGTGTTATGCAGATTCAGAATCTGCGTGTGCACTGTTTCTTTGAAAGCCATGACATGCATCTGTACTACATTGCTCCCACGCTGAGAAGAATGTGAGCACTGTATTTTATTACAGTTATCGTGAATATCTTCTCAAATTGTCTTGATATGTGAGAAGCAAAAAAACACAAAACCCAAAACCAAAAACCAACCCCAGCACACCAAGCCACATAAAATTCAAGCCAAAACCTGCTAGATGTGGGAGGAAACATGGCAACGAGCGATGAGGAAAAGGCTGAGGTGCTTAATGCCTTCTTTGCCTCAATCTTTAATAACAAAACTAATTGTATTGAGGGAATTCAGCCTCCTCAGCCAGAAGACAAAGACTGAGAGAACAATCTCCTCGCAATCCAGGAGGAGATAGTCAGTGACCTACTGCATCACAGAGACACACTCTAGTCTATGGGACCGTATGGGATACACCCGAGGGTGCTGAAGGAGCTGGCTGGGGTGCTCGCCAAGGTGCTTTCTATCATTTACCAGCAGTCCTGGCTGACCGGGGAGGTCTCGACAGGTTGGAAATTGGACAATATGATGACCATCTGTAAGAAGAGTCAGAAGGATGATCCAGGAAATTACAGGTCTGTCAGCTTGACTTCAGTGCCCGGGAAGCTGATGGAGCAGCTCATCCTGAGTGCCATCACACAACACGTGCGGGACAACCAGATGATCAGGCCCAGTCAGCATGGGTCTATGAAAGGCAGGTCCTGCTTGACAAACCTGATCTCCTTCTACTACAGGGCAACCTGCTTATTGGTTGAAGGAAAGGCTGTAGATGTTGTCTACATTGAATTTAGTAAAGCCTTTGACACTGTTTCCACAGTGTTCTGGTGAAACTGTCTGTTCATGGCTTGGATGGGCACATGCTTCACTGGGCAAAAACTGGCTGGATGGCCATTTTTATATGGCCCAGATTGTTGTGGGCCCAAAGAGTGGTGAACAGAGTTAAATCCAGTTGGTGGCCAGTCACGAGTGGTGTCCCCCAGGGCTCGGTTTTGGGATCACTCTTGTTTAACATCTTTATTGATGATCTAGACAAGGGGATTGAGTGCACCCTCAGTCAGTTTGCAGATGACACCCAGTTGGGTGGGAGTGTTGATCTGCTCGAGGGCAGGGAGGCTCTGCAGAGAGACCTGGACAGGCTGGAGCCATGGGCTGAGGCCAACTGCAGGAGTTTCCATAAGGCCAAATGCCGGGGGCTGCCCTTGGGCCACAACAACCCCCAGCAGCGCTACAGACTTGGGGAGGAGTGTCTGGAGAGCTGCCAGTCAGAGAGGGACCTGGGGGTGTGGATTGACAGCCGGCTGAACAGGAGCCAGCAGTGTGCCCAGGGGGCCAAGAAGGCCAATGGCATCCTGGCTTGTGTCAGCAATAGTGTGGCCAGCAGGGACAGGGAAGGGATCTGACCCCTGTACTTGGTGCTGGTGAGGCTGCACCTCGATTCCTGTGTTGTTTTGGACCCCTCACTACAAAAAGGACATTGAATGACTCGAGCGTGTCCAGAGAAGGGCTACAAAGCTGGTGCAGTGTCTGGAGCACAGGTTGTACGGGGAGCGGCTGAGGGAACTGGGGGTGTTTAGTCTGGAGAAGAGGAGGCTGAGGGGAGACCTCATCGCCCTCTACAGCTACCTGAAAGGAGGCTGCAGAGAGCTGGGGATGAGTCTCATTAACCAAGTAGTAAGCGATAGGACAAGAGGTAATGACCTTCAATTGTGCTAAGGAATGTTTAGACTGGATATTAGGAAGCATTTCTTTCCAGAAGGGGTTGTTTAGGTGTTGGAATGGGCTGCCCAGGGCAGTAGTGGAGTCCCCATCCCTGGAGATGTTTAAGAGTCAGATTGACGTAGCTTAGGGATATGGTGTAGTTGGGAACTGTCAGTGTTAGTTTAATGGTTGGACTAGATGATCTTCAAGGTCTTTTCCAAACTACATGATTCTGTGATTTATGTACAATTAAAAAAAAACCCAAGCCCAAACCAAACCTGTTCAGTTCCAGTTTAAGCACAAAAGAGAAAGGGGAACATTGTCTTCATTTCACTGTGTGAAATTTTTATGTACAAATCCTTTTCTGTGTAAAAGCACAGCGAAATGCATGTATGGTAAAAATCAGGCTACATTTTTACATCCTGAGAACAAAGCAAAACTTCTATTTTGATTTAAATAATTCCAGAGGCTAGAGAGCCAAAACATATTGTAATAGGGGCAGTTAAAACACAGAGGCATTAAATCTGAGCCTTGCCTAAAAGTCAAACCAAGTAGAGATCTTTCTACATTGTAACCTGAAGTTTACAGCTGCCATTACACCACCTGAAAATGCTGTAGCTAACCCAGGCCTGACTGAATGGCTAAAGCCTTCAGGAGTTTCTCAAGCAGCTGGTCTGAGCAATGCATTATATCCCTGGGTCTGCTAAAATGTGTCCTCAAGGCAGCATATGATCATACATTAGAATGTGTTATTCCATCTGGAGGACTTTAAATACTTCTTTATATTAGACAGTCCTGAATGTGTTTGCATGAAACTTGGTCAGCAGTGATACTGTCCTTGTTCTTTGTGACTTGCTGCATAGTTGCACCAGGGTCACAGGTATTAAGAATGCAACCAGCAAATATTACACAGAAGCATTTAGTCATGCAAAATAGATGTGAAAATAGAGGTGCAGGAGTACAGACTTCACTGTAAGTTACTGGCATGTAAGCTCCTAAATTACTTAAATGTGTTGGGTTTTTTTTAAATCCTATCCTAGAGATCTCCTGTTGTTCCCAATACATGTACACCAGAAATTCACGTATTATCCAAAACATATGTTTTGAATATTTATTTTAATGGTTTGCTGTCATCCATGTGTATTGCAGATGCAGGCATGAAGGGATTTGATCATCTAAGGAGAACATTCTGTAAAGCTTTTTATATTCAGGTTACTGCAGGTTGGAATTGGCAGTGAAAGGAAGAATGCAGGAGAGAGGCATAAGTACAGTTAGTTGCCTTGCTTGATACACTTTTGGAACCTGTCAAATATTACTGTAATAGGGCAACATTAGACAGGAATGGAACAGAGTAACTGTAATTTTGCTGTGAATAAATGGAGAGGAGTGCTAGCTGGACATCTTCTGGCACCAAAAAAACCCAAGCGGTTTGGGCCACTGTTGTAAAAGTGGAAAGGCACTCACAAATTTATAACTAGGTACCAAATTTTCCTTGTTTTTTTAAGCGTGAGTGTCATGGCATACTCTACAGATTTCCAGCTTGGAGGATCACAAAACCAGCATGCTGACAGTGTTCAGACTGAAGGGCCAGGGCTGGGAATATTGTTGGAATGTGTCCACAGCAGCCAGGGAGAATTTATACTGCCCAAATGCAGCTGTTGAGATGAACTCAAAGCCTTCTTCTCTCACAATACCTCTCTCCTCTGTGCTAGGTGAGGTGCCACTTTTTATAAACTTTGATTTAAAGTGCAATTTTACTTTTTGTAATAGGTATTAAATTTAAACTCCGGGTTAGGGTTGCTGCCAGTATCTCTAGTTCTTCTGAATACCAGTTGTGGATTGCATCTTTTTCTTAGATGTTTCACATAGAGTGATTATGTGGGGAAATTCCCCCCTTGAATTTCCAGAGTAGAAGTGAAACTCTGAAGTCCTTGTTTATCGTTTTGCAGGACAACTTTATTATTATTAAGCGCTGGGTAATTCTTATGTCAAGAGTAGTTTTGC